AAAGAAATTTTAAGCATTGTTTGGAGGGATTAATTGATTAAATTGTTATTTAACTTCTTAATATTAACATTGTCTTCACTCTCAGTTGTTCTGGATTCTCTAGAACAGATATCTTATATTATTCCAATAGATGAGAACCATATACTGTAAACTTAAGCAAAGTAATTTTTTAGTTTTTAGTTTTGGGTTTCATTTTATTTCTATGAAGTTGTATATATATAAAAAAGGAGTATGGAGAAAAATAAATGAATTTGTTATTAATTTTTAGTTTTCTCAGGTAAACAAATGCTCTCCTGATATATATATAAAACTTTTGTTTCTAATGGCTGAAGTAGTCTTTTGTACATGGGAGTTAGGAACGAAGAAATAGGCACTCATCCCTGAATACTGGTCTATATGATATTAAGTTGGCAGGACCAGCACGAGCTTTATACCCAGGGCAGGATGTCACAAAAAGAAGTAAATCTGTGACTGATATCATCAGTGAGGGTTTTCAGAAGAGGTGGGACCACCATGAGGGATGGGGGTAGGGATTTAATATAGAATCAGACTTACACTGTTGAGAAGCTGGTGAATATTTCATGGAGAATAGTACCTAGCTGTGTGCCACTTTTTAGAGAATTAAGAAAATCATTGAAGTAGTTTTCTGTAGGATTTAATTCTCTGATGGAAACCCAGCTGAGAAAGGCTGGCTTGGAAGTCATTTGTGCCATTCAAGAGCTTCAGTTAAATTTGGGGAATAGAACTAGACTGCATGCTATTTGGGCGAGGTGGATTATGCAAAACTGGAGGTAGCAAGTAAAAATAACTTCTTCAAGAACATTGGGCAGAGAAAAAAGAGGCTTAGTTGAGTATTTCTTAAAGAAAAAACAGGAAGTGTTTTTGTGGCTGAGGGGAAGTTTCTTAAAGTGAGAAAAAGAGATGAAAGGTGTAAATAAGTAATTCATTGTGTAAGATACTAAGGAATTCTCCCAAAGAAAGGGTTGACTCACTTATTTAGACAGAAGAGAAGAAGAATATGATGTATGGTAACACAAAGAACTTTTGAAGAGTATAAGAGGGAACGTGAGAGAATTCTCATTGTATTTGAACGTCTTATTACGACTATACACATTGTTAAGAGTTGTAGGGACTGGAGCTTGGGAGGTGGATAGTGCAAATGTATATTGTTTTGGGAAATTACCTGCATAGTTATTATGACAGCCTAATGACAATTAGAAAGTTATCGCAAATAGCTTTATATAAGAAATAATGGGAAACAGAACTATGACTATATAAAGATAAGGAATTTTTGTTTGTGAGAAATGCTGATGTGGCAGAATAAAAGATTTATTAATAGATTAAACCTAGTGGTAGTAAGGATTTGGCAGGGTAGAGGGAGGGGAAGAATATATCTGAATCTAGGGAAATATGGGCTCATTCTTAAAGAAGCTGGTTATGATGTATTTGTGGGACATCCCAGGGAAAATGTCCAGTAGGCAGTTAATTTAGTTTAGAACATGGGAAAAAAGTGTGGTTTCAGCATTCTTTAATTATAAAAACTCTCAACAAATGAGATATAGAAGGAATGTACAACCCAATAAAGTCATATATGACAGCACCACAGCTAACATCATACTCAGTGATGAAGAGTTGAAGCTTTTCACCTAATATCAGGAACAAGAGAAAGATGCCCACTCTCACCACTTATATTTAAGGTAGTATTGGAAGTTCTAGCCAGAGCAATTAGGCAAGAAAAAGAAATGAAAGTCATCCTAATAGGAAGGAAAGATGTTAAATTTTTCCTGTTTGCAGATGACATGATCTTTTATATATGAATATACATATATATGAAATATATAAAATCCCTGAAAACTCTACCAAAATACTGTTAGACCAATAAATGAGTTTAGTAAAGTTGTAGGATATAAAATCAACATCCACAAATCAGTAGCATTTCTATATATTAATAATAAACTATCCAAAAAAGAAATCAAGAAAACAATCCCATTTATAATAGCTACAAAAATAAAATACTTAGGAATAAATTTAACCAAGAATGTGAAAGAACTGTGCACTGAAAACTACAGAACATTAATGAAAGGAATTCAGGAAGACATCAGTGGAAAGATATCTCATGTTCATGATTGAAAGAATTAATATGGTTAAAATGCACATACTGTCCAAAGTAATCTACAGATTCAATACAAACCCCATCAAAATTCCAGTGACATTTTTCACAGAAATAGAAAAATAATCCTAAAATTCCTATGGAATTACCAAAGACCATGAATAGCCAAAGTAATCTTGGCCAAAAAATACAAAGCTGGAGGCCTCACACTATCTGACGTCAAAATAAACCACAGAGCTATAGTAATTCAGGCCATCTTCTTATATAGGTAGTGAATGAAGCCACAGAAATGAACAATATAAATCTATAGAGGTGGGGTGATTGTTAAAGGTGAGAAGGAACAACAGCCTAGTATTGAATGCCACGGAAACATTTTAGGGATGCAGGAAGGATCCCAGTAAAGGGACTTCATAAAGTTAGAAGGAAACACATAAAGGAAACCAGGAGGAAGTGGTATCATTTACACTGAGGAAGAGATGGTTTAAAGAAAGGGATGTGGTTTGAAGTGCTTCAGAGTATTTTTACTTGGCTTCAAACTGCCCTTTGGAGTTGACAGCTGGGAGGTCAATAGTAGCCTTTGTGAGATCAGTTTTCATGGCAGCTTCCCAACAGAAGCTAATCTGGGGCATTGAGTTAAGTTACCTTGGGTTGAAGAGTGAGCATGAAGTGAGGCAGCATAACTAAAATAACATAATAAGTATAGGGATGATATAGCATAGTTGAACTTAGACTTGAAGTGTCAGTACATATGCTCAGATTAATATGACTTTTACATAATAATCTTCCACTTCATTATAATATATGCATGTAATATATATGTGTGGTAGGAAAACTTAGAAAGAATGTAAGAAAAGTCTCATAATCATACATCCAGTTCATATCTTTTAAAATTTTAAAATGCTTTGCCCTCTTCTTACAGTACCTTCTTATTTTCTTTAAAGGGGTCTATTCAGTTAGGAAAACTATTTTGAGTAAATGTGTATTGGTTTCTGTAAAAATTAAATTTTTGTGTAAAGAAAATACTACCTTTATGGCAGAGGTTGAGAAACTTCTTTAAAGGTCCAGATAGTAAATATTTTAGGCTTTGAGGGCCATATGGTTTTTGTCAAAACCACTCAACCTCTCTGCTCTTGTAGCAAGAAAACAGTCATGATAATATGTAAGTGGATGAGTATGGCTGTGTTCCAATAAAATTTTATTTACAAAACATAGGGTGGGTGAGATGTGCACCATCTGGGGGATGGTCATGCTGGAAACTCAGACTTCTGGGGGGAGGGGGTGAAAGGGCATTTATTGAAATCTTAAAATCTGTACTCCCATAATATGCCGAAATAAAAAAAAAAAAAAAGAAAAACATAGGGTGGGTTGGGGATTTCCTTCATACTAAATCTACTAACTCTTAATTAATTACTATAGAGGTTTTGTTTGAGAAACAAAATAAATCACAGGACTGGATGAGGGTCAAGTTCACAGATCAAGTTCACTTTTTAAAAAATGATAAGATGTTCCAGGATCTGGTGTTTAGTTATCACATTCAAGGTCATATCAGTAAGGAACTATTTTCTCACATGCAATTTTAAAGAGCTTAGGATGACTTCTGCTTTTAGGCTATAATGTTTCTTTTTGGTATTCTGCCTTATATCTGACACTGCCTGCTTTGCTTCTTTCCTCATGTATTTTTGTTTTTCTTCTTTTGACAATATCTTTAACAATTTGGATATTTAGACTTCAGAAAATTGCAAGATATTCTCTGGAGTCTCTTTGTACTGTTTACTTACTTCCCCTGAATTTAAATCATATACGCCATGTTGATACCTTACTTTAATTATCATAATAAGCAATTAACATTGGCACTAACTAGTCAGCAGACTACTTTATTGGATTATACCATTTTCCTCTATGTGCTTTTTTTGCTCCAGGATCGCCACCTAAGAAACTATTGCATGTCCCAGTGCTTTCTTGTTTCTCATTTTTTCTTGTTTTCTGACCTTGACATTGAAGGTATTGGTCAGGTATATTGTAGAATACCATCAATTTGGTTGGGTCTGTATTTTCTCATGATTGTGAGTTTTAGGGAAGATTAACCATAGAGGTGAAGTACTCGTCTCATTACATTATATTGTAGGGGTTGGGGAGGGTGGAAGGGAAGGGAGTGATTATAGCAACTTGATTATCATCACTATTGATGTTATCTTCTGGTTCATTTTGACCTGGTACTACCTGCTCACTTCTTTGATTTGTACAGTATCTTGGTTGCTTCTTATTTCAGAGATCCTTGAGTGCTTATCTTTTTCTGTATTTTCTTGTTTTGTATTTATGTCTTTCATTTTTATATGCTTTAACTATTTTCTTTCATGATGCTCTACTCGTGCATTTCACTTGCCTCCTCTTGTTGGGATAGAATGTCATCACTCAGGTTCACTGATCAGATTTTCCAGCCTGTTGTCATCGTGTTTAATTGAAATTAGTAGTGATAGAAAAAATATATAAATATTATTGATAATACTTATGAATATGGGAACAGGCAATATATCCTAGGAGGACTTTAAGGAAATGATTAAATTTTGTGCCTGATAGAGTACTTTCCGATTTATTGTCCATGATGCCACTAAATAAGCATTATAGCATAGCACATAGTCTATTCTTTCATCAGAATTAACAGTTTAGTTACAGTGTTTCTAATCCTATGTAATCCTCAGGTTGAGTTTTTTTGTGGAATAATAAGAAGATTATAAAGTAAATCTTTATTTTTTTTGGTAATTTGTTGCAGATTTAATCAATGTACAATTAAGATATTTTAAGCATTGTTTGGAGGATTAATTGATATAAATTGTTATTTAGCTTCTTAATATTAACATTGTCTTCACTCTCAGTTGTTTGGATTCTCTAGGAACAGATATCCTATATATTCCAATAGATGAGAGACCATATACTGTACACCTTAGACAAAGGTAATTTTTTAGTTTTTAGTTTGGGTTTCATTTTATTCTATGAAGTTGTTTATAATAAAGGAGTATGGAGAAAATAAATGAATTGTTATTTAATTTTAGTTTTCTCAGGTAACAAATGCTCTCCTGTGACTTAATTAAACTTTTGTTTCTAATGGCTGAAGTAGTCTTTTGTACATGGAGGTTAGGAACAGAAGAATAGGCACTCACTCCTGAATACTGGTCTATATGATTTAAGTTGGCAGGACAGCACGAGCTTTATACCAGGCGGATGTCACAAAGAAGTAATCTGTGACTGATATCATCAGTGAGGGTTTTACCGAAAGGTGGGACCACCATGAGGGATGGGGTAGGGATTTAATATAGAATCAGACACTTACACTGTTGAGAGCTGGTGAATATTTCATGGAGAATAGTACCTAGCTGTGTGCCACTTTTAGAGAATTAAGAAAATCATTGAAGTAGTTTTCTGTAGGATTTAATTCTCTGATGGAACCAGCTGAGAAAGGCTGGCTTGGAAGTCATTTGTGCCATTCAAGAGCTTCAGTTAAATTTGGGAATAGAACTAGACTGCATGCTATTTGGGCGAGGTGGATTATGAAAACTGAGGGTAGCAAGTAAAATAACTTCTTCAAGAACATTGGGCAGAGAAAAGAGGCTTAGTTGAGTATTCTTAGAGAAAAACAGGAAGTGTTTTTGTGGCTGAGGGGAAGTTTCTTAAGTGAGAAAAGAGATGAAAGGTGTAAGTAATTCATTGTGTAGATATAAGGATGACTCCCAAATAAAGGCGTTGATCCTTTTGAGGTGCAGGTGTTTATTGCTATGAAGTTCCCTCATAGCACTTTTTTGCTCAATCCATAGGCTTTGGTAAGTTGTGTTTCCATTTTCATTTGTTTCAACAATTTTTTTTATTTTTTCTTAGTTTGTTCCTTGATCTAATGGTCATTTGGGATCATGTTTAATTTCCATGTATTTGTACAGTTTCCAAATTTTCTTTTGTTATTGATTTGTAGTTTTATTTCATTGTTGTCTTTGAAAACACTTGATATGATTTCAATTTTTTGAGACTTGTTTTGTGACTTGGTGTATGGTCTATCCTGGAGAATGTTCCACGTGCTGATGAGAAGAATGTATATTCTGCAGTAGTTCTATGAAATGTTCTGTAAGTGTCTGTAAGGTCCATTTGGTCTAAAGTATACTTTAAATTTAACATTTCTTTGTTGCTTTTCTGTCTTAACAATCTGTCCATTGCTGACAGTGGGGTCTTGAAGTCCCCAATATTATTATATTGGGGTCTATCTCTCTCTCAACTCTAATACTATTTGCTGTATATATCTGGGTGGTTCAGTGTTTGGTTTATGTATGTTATAATTCTTATATCCTCTTGTTGAAATGATCCCTTATTATATAATGACCTTCTTTTTTTCTTTTTCTTGTTTTTGCCTTAATGTCTGTTTTATCTGATATAAATACAGCTACTCCTGCTCACTTTGGTTTCTATTTGTGTAGAATATCTTTTTCCATACCTTCACTTTCAATCTATATCTTTATTTATAGGCGAGTTTCTTATAGGCTGCATATAGTTGGGTCATGTTTTTAAATTCAGCCAGTCTATATTTTTTAAATGAGTAATTTAATCCATTTACATTTAGATTATTATTAATAAATATGAATTTATTCCTGTCATTTTGTTAATTGTTTTCTGATTATCTGTATATTCTTTGTTTTTATCCCTCTTATTATTTATTGCTGTGATTTAGTCTTTTTCTGTAGTTGTATCATTTGACTTCTTTCTCTTCTCATTTGTGTGTCTGCTCTATCAGTGAGTTTTATACTTTTGTGTGTTTTCTTTATGGTAGATATTGTCCTTTCACTTCTAGATGTGGATCTCCTTTAAGGATTTCTTGTAGCACTAGTCTAGTGGTGATTAATTCCCTCAATTTTTATGTGTCTGGAAAAGACTTTATTTCTCCATTTTTGAAGGATATCTTTGTTGGGTATAGTATTCTTGGCCCAGAGTTGTTTTGTTTCAGCACTTTGAATATATCATCACATTCTCTCATGGCTTGTAAGGTTTCTACTGAGAAATACACTGTTACTCTGATGGGGATTCCCTTATATGTGACTCGATTCTTTTTCTGTTCATAGAATTCTCTTTTTGTTTTTGACTTTTGCCATTTTGACTACAATGTGCCTTAGAGAAGAACTTTTTGGATTGAGTCTACTAGGTGATTTTAGTTTTCTGTATCAGATGTGTATATCTTTTGTATGATTTGTGAGGTTTTTAGCTCTTATTATTTCATTAAATAGGTTTTAAATAGGTTTTCTGTTTTCTATGCCTTTGCCCATTTCTTCTCCTGAAATCCTCCAAATTTTAGTATTTGTTGGCTTTATGATGTCCAATATATCATGTATACTTTATTCATTCTTTTTTATTCTTTTTTTTTCAATCTGACTGGGTATTTCAAAATTCTGTCTGCAAATTCAGTAATTCTTTTTTCTGTTTGATCTAGTCTTGTTGAAGCTCTTGATTGTATTTTTTATTAAATTTATTAAATTATTCAGTTCTAGGATTTTTGTTTGGTTCTTTTTTATGATATATATCTCTGTTGAATTTCTCCTTCAGATCATCAATTATTTTCCTGATTTCTTTGTTTTGTTTATCTGTGTTCTTTTTTATCTCCCTGAATTTCCTTAAGTTTATTGTTTTGCATTCTTTTTAAGTCTTTTAATAGATTTTCTTTTGTTTGAGATCTGTTACTAGAGAATTATGTTCCTTTCATGTTGTCCTGTTTCTTGCTTTTTTAATGTTTCTTGTGTCCTTACATTGATATCCATGCCTCTGGTGTAATAGTCACTTCTTCTCTGGATTGGCTTTCCTGTGAAAGCCAATCCAGAAAAAAAAAAATGAACCACTTTTGATGATTAAGAAATCATCATGCCATCTTGATGATGTCTCAGGGATGAAACTTCTTAATCATCAAAATTGGTTCATTTGCCTGTTATACAAATTAAAACAAGAATTTCCTGTATTTTTTCAATACCATTAATCCGCCCTCTACACTCTTTAGAGATCTACCCCAGTTTTTCTATATAGCCTAAAAACAAAAGGCATTTCATGATAACTCCCTTAGTTAGAAGTATAGTTAAAGGAAGTATTCCTTCATACTAACATCTACTAACATCTTAATTAATTACTATAAGAGGTTTTGTTTTGAGAAAACAAAATATTCACAAGGACTGATAGGGTCAAGTTCACAGATCAAGTTCACTTTTAAAAATGATAAAGATGTTCCAGGATCTGTGTTTAGTTATCACATTCAGGTCATACTCAGTAAGGAACTATTTTTCTCAC